GGGAGTTGTAGGTGTGGGTAGGAGTTGTAGGTGTGGGGGGTAGGGGGAGGGAGTTGTAGGTGAGGGTAGGGGTTGTGGGGTAGGGTAGGGGTTGCGGGTGAGGGGGTTAGGGGTTGTGGGTGTGGGCGTAGGGTAGGGTAGGGGATGTGGGTGTCGGGGGTAGGGTGGGGGTAGGGTTGGGGATGTGGGTGTCGGGGGTAGGGATTGTGGGTGAGGGTATTACAGTGGATTCAGGGAAGGGGAGGGAGGGGGAATATTCATCTACAGCCTCCCCCATCCTCAGTGCTGTCTGTCACGTGCCCCCAGGTCTGGATGAACATGGGGAGACTGTTTCCTGGCGAGTCTCAGGTTGGGCTGCACGGATCATACAGCACGAAATGGACCATTTAAATGGGCAGCTATACATCGACAAAATGGACAGTACAACTTTTGAGAATCTGCACTGGATGGAAGAGAATGACTGAGGCAGATGATGACTAAACTTGCATTACAAATGCACTGGTCACATCCCCAGCAGCTAATGAAACAAGCTCTCAGTTAACAACGGAACAGCAAGATCCCTAATATAACATCTGTTTTAGTTACACCGGTGAACATTCACAAGGATAGTAGGAACTGCAGATGCTGGATACTGGATAAAATTTAAAAAGCAACATTAGAGACAGTAGCACAACCTCAGGAATGCCTTAAACTTATTGTAAAACTGATAAATTAAAATTTGAGTGCAATTTAAATCATCACTACAAGCTAGGGATTCTATGATTCTTAGTTCTTTCAACATGGGGGTGTGGGCACTGACACATCTGGGATTACTGTCCTTTCTTGGCAAATTGCAGACTCTTCAATAGAGTTTAAATTTAAATTGTGACTGCACCTGATACCCAAAGAATTTGGAAGTTCAGCCTTGTAGAGGATTAACTTCAAGTTTGGGTGGTGGAACGATGATTCTCTGGAATACTCTGGTCCCATGAGTTGCTGCAGTCAGTCATGGTCACCCCATTTAAATATGTAACCATTCACAATACTGAGCAGTGAACATATATGCCACCTGCCTCTCACCTTGTACAGTGCTTTAAATTGCTGGCCAATGCTAAAAATGAATTTTAATTCAAGGTTGAGAATTGTATTGAACCTGTACAGGCACTTTAGTAGAGAAACAAAATAATCTCACCATCCTGTTGTTTCTCCATAGCTCTGCATCTGATTGTTTCAGCTGCCTCGTGCTGGAAAGTGGGACTGAGGTAGATTTAGGGTAGCTTTGGTGGTACAGACTTGATGGGCCAAAGGGCCTCTTCCGTACGGTATGATTCTATGATTAAACCACTCCTTTTGTCAAGTACTTCAACCTCAACCCTGTACAAAATTTCTGAACTCTATATTTAAATTGAAGTTTCACCTGTGTTCTTCCAAACGTGTTACTTCCTACAGTGCAACTGTCTCTCCATTCCACTACCCTGACTATCTCTTCCTAATGTGTTAGAAATACCATTGTTCATGAGACCAAAATTACAGTTTGTGTAACTGTACACAACCAGTTGTATACATTATCAGAATCCAAATAGTCTATATTCAGAGAAAAAGCAGGATCCAGCACCTACCTTTGGGATGAATTCTTCAGTTCAACTTAATTTTTACATCACTTCATCTTGTATTAAGTGGCAGAATTTTCCTACTAAGGTCTTTGCAAGAAACCTTATCAAACATCTAAATTCCACACCTACTGCATTCCTTCATCTAACTGCTCAGGGCTATGAAAAGAATTGTCAAACATGAATTGCTTTTAATGCATCTGCTGTACCTTTGCATTTAAAACATAGAATCCATAATTCAAGATAACAGTTTAACAGTTTTCACCTCAAATAAACTGGCTTTAATTATTTCTTGTCCTCTTACTGAAAATGGGTGCTGCTTTTTATTGGAAGTGATGACGGGTTCAATATGAACTGCCAGCAATGAGGTTATAGGTTTCAAGAACTGCAGATACTGGAGTAAGAATCGATGCAGTGTGGAGCTGGAGAAATACAGCAGGTCAGGCAGCAGAGGAATAGGAGAGTCGATGTTTTGGGCCTAGACCCTTCATCAGGATGAAACGTCGACTCTCCTACTCCTTTGCTGCCTGACCTGCTGTGTTCCTCCAGCTCCACAGTGTCAACTTAGGCTGCCATATGATGGGCTCACATCTTGTACTGAAAGTACCTTTAACAGAATAACTAAAAATAAAAATTTAAAACAATAAGTGGTATTGGAGTAAATGACCAGATGAAGGTTCTCACCAGCAGTTTAGGAGGAGCAAAGGGAGGTACATGGGTTTTGGGAGTGAATTCTCTTATCCCAGACACCATTCTAGTTTATTCTTCTGTGACCTTGACATCTTTAAGATATGTGCCCAAAAATGAATACAATACTCCCACTGAGGCCTCAGATTTTTAAAATTTAACAATTTCACACTACTCCAACATGATACCACAGCACCAGTAAGGGATTTTGCTCCCTCCTCTAACTTTCCAAGAGTTACAGAAGTGTTCGCATGACCAATCATTCAGAGTCCTACAGAGCATCGCTTGTCCATTGTAACACTGGTATCATTCTGCATTGCACTTTCCGCTGGCTGAGGTTACCATGAAGGTCCCACCTTCTCAATTTTGCCCCTCGCCTGAAGTGTGGTTAAACTTGCCACCAGTCTTCTAAGGAGAGAGCAGCCTATGGTCCTCTGGGGTTATAGTGACTTCATCTTTACAACACTCAATCTGAAATACACTAACCTCAAGATTTAATTATAATGTGTTAAAATCAATCATAAATAACAGTCTAACTGTTGAATAAATACATTCTCTTCCTCTTCATTCCCATAGACTGGCTAATGGTAGCAGCCTTCAAAATCTTCATTCAGTGACACTGCTCGATGAGAAACAAACCTGGCCAGAAAAAAGACCTGTGAAACCTTTGTTGTGAACAGGGATCAGCAAGAGATCGATGTTTTATTTAAGGCTCTCAATCAGTGAATAAAGGAAATCTCAGAAACTTTTACAGAATCGGGGAAGAGTTCAAGCCACATGTCTGTTTCCTGAGCTCTGTAAGGAGTGCAAAGTTCATGCTGGGATATATCTGCTCGAAACCTGGTTACTAATAACGGCACAAAATCTTCAGCAAAACAAAATCAGCTTTTCTTAAAATAGGCAAATGATGTGGCAGCATCTGGGAGGTGTGTTAAGTTTCTCTCAGCTTCAGACTGTACAATTCCTTGTGATTTCAGAAATAAGGATCAACTGGAAGAGCAAGGAGATTAATAGAAGGCTCAGCCTTCCTGCCCAAAGTCTTCTGTAAATTTCTTCACTTTGTTAAGATCCTCGGCATTGACAGTAGGTCGAGTGGTTGCCAGTGAGCGAAGCATGTCAGACTGAAAAGAATGAACAGGGTTCAGGAGTTAGAAGCCAAAAGAGAGCACAAAATGGGTAATAGACAGGTGGTGCATGCATAACTTAACCTGATCCACAAGTGACTTCTACATTAACAGTAGCAGACTTTAGAACGACAGTGATCCAGAAGGAAAACAGACTCCTCGAGAGACATTCCAGCCCCAAGCTGTGGATTGTCCAAGCCCTGGTCCTCAGCACTCAGATGCCACACCAGGGGCAGTGAATGAACCAGGAGTCTCAAGCTGCCCTTGGCTGTATTTAGGCCTGATAGAGGCCAGACATCCATTAAATCACAACATAAGTATTGCACGGGGTGGGAGTGTGGTGGTGGTGGATGCAGAGACAGAGAGAGAGAGAGGAGGCAAAAAAAAACTTTTTTGGGTTTGATTATTCTGCATCACAGTCCAAGGCAGGAGATGAGCTGCTACTCATACATCTGTTCCCAAACTGAGCCATAGAGCAGCAAAATAATTCTCCAACCCATATAGACAGCACGAAACCCGAGAGCACACACACACGGGTAGGGGACATGCATGTGTAGAATGAAATTACTCCACCCTGACAGCCAACCTTTCACAAGCATTGCTCTGGTCAAAATATTGTTTTGCTACTAAGATAACTAAAGGTTCAACTGATGGAAGCATAGAAAATTCCTGACCAAACATCTTCATCTCCTATATTGCAGCTTTACTAGCACACTGATATAAGGCGGCAGCGCAAAAACAAGCAGAATTTACCATGCAAACCACAGGCTCCAGTAGCTTATCACTGGGAACATCCACCCATGTCATCTCAATGGCAGCTGGGTCTCCAGGGGAGCATGGTGTTAAAAGGTCATCCACTATGACATTTGGATTTGTTCTGGATGGACCTCGAATCTGGAGGAAAAGATCAAATAGTTAACGATATATTGTCCTGTAAAACTTATAGCCAAACACCTCAATCCTCTTGAAATGATCCTGTTTGTGAAACTGAGCAACGCTATTACGACACTCGCCAATTATCTCAAGCATATTTGGTTTGCTTTCTCAGCCTATCATCTTATTTATTGATTTCCTTAGTGACAGAGAATTTAAGAAGATTCACAAATTCTGACCGAAAAAATTTCTTGTCTCAGTCCTGAATGATCAACCCCTTATCCTGAGAAACAAGAAGTGATTGTGGTTTATAACGAATAACATTAGCCAGTAAAAATCAAATAAGACAAACACAATCACCCACAAACAGCACTTCAAGCTGGGTAGAGGAAAGAAAAGTCATTTTAAAAATAGTTTCTTGAGATGTTGTCAATGCAAGGCTGATACTGCTGCGTGAATAGTTATGATCCCAACAGTGACCCCTGCAGAACTCTCAGAATCCCTATATTGTAGTAGCAGGCCATTCAGCCCATCGAGTCCACACCAACCCTCCAAAGAGCATCCCACTGAGGACCACCCTATCCCTGTAACCCTGCATTTCCTATGGCTCATCCACCTAGCCTACACATCCCTAGACTGTGGGAGGAAACCGGAGCACCAGGAAGAAACTCACAGAGAGGGGAGCACGTGCAAATCCACACAGACAGTCACTTGAGGGTGGAATCAAATCCAGGTCCCTAACACTGTGAGGCAGCAGTGCTAATCAATAAGCCAGTATGCTTCCCTGCATATCTCCGAGGTCTCTGGATTACCAGCCCAACGAGAATACATTTTGATGGGCCTGTTGCTAAAACAACAACTGCCACAGCTGACAACTGAGGGAATGTGCTCTCATTTTTAATCTTGAGGGAATCACAAGAGCAGCCCCTCATCTGACGCCAGTTTGCCCCCAATCCACTCCAGACTTCATCTCCCATTTCCCCAGCTTCTTGCAGCTTCCACTCCCCGTGCAAAGCACTCCCCCAACCACAACCCACTAGCCCTTCTCCCCCTCCAGGAGGCCTGTGATTTAACTCGAAGTTCAGTTGCTCATCTCTTTAGTAAACAGAGCTTCATGGTTCTGTTCGTCCAACACACTGTCACTGCTTGAAGAACGCTACTTGTCCCTGGCTGCCATCCTGGAAAAACCCCTTTATCCCCACTCTCTGTTTTCTGCCAGTCACCAATCCTCTATCCATGGCAGTACCTTGCCCCTAAAATTGTGGGGTCTGATCTCACTTAGCAGCCTCCTGTGCGGCACCTGGTCAAAGACTTTCTGCAAACCTAAACACGTCATGTCCACTGGCTCTCCATTGGCTAACTTGCTGGTTAATTCCTCAAATTACCTCATCACAAAAGGAATATCACTTAGTTTGCTTTACCCTTTTAAAATACCTGCAAAAACTTCCACTATTTGTATATTCCTAGCTAGCCTTCCCTCAATTTCTTAACATTTTAGTCATTCTTTGGCACTTTGAATATTCTGACCAAACATGTGACCTGCTACTTCAGCAATTTATGCTTTTCCCTTTGAATTGACATTTTCTGTAATTTCTTTAGTTAACCACTTATGGTGGGTCCTGCATTTCGAATTCTTCTGTTTTGTAGGAATATACTTATTTTGAGTATTCTGAAATATCCCCTTAAATGTCTTCCACTGCGTTTCTATCAATTGATTTCTTCGCCTACTCTATCTGTTCACTTCAGCTAGCTCAGCTTTCATATAGCTCTTACTTATGCTTACAATAATACTCTTTGACCCAATCTTCTCCCTTTCAAACTGGACATAATATCATAACGCGTGGTTGCTGCTACCTAGGGATGGCCTAACTCAGATCATTAATTAATCCTGCCACACTACACAATGCCAAATTGAACACGACCTGCTTTGTAGTCAGTTCCAAAATTTGCTCCAAGAAATCTTTCAATAGAATTCTATGAACTCTTTACCTAGCCTTCTATTGCCAATCTGGTTTTTCCAGTTCATAAATAGATTAAAATTACCCATGATTACTGTCATCCCTTAAGCACACGCAACCACTATTTCTTACTGTTTGATTTGTCCCACATTGTGATTAGTGTTAGGAGGTCCACAGATTACTCCCACCAGTGATTGCACACACACTCTCTCTCTCTCCCACGCCCACATACACAAACATGTACATACTGTCTCTCCTCCCCCTGCAACGTGCGAACACGTAAATCTATGGGGTGAATTTATATTTGCAGATATATTCTATTTTGTTCAAAAAGCACACGATTTATAGAAAGTCAATCAATGTGGCGTTTTATAAATTCCTACTTTAGAAATAAAACCAGTCTGACTCCAAACAAAGACACAAACAGATTTTGACAAGGCCTCACACCTAACAGGCATTGACTGACCTAAAATGTCTCCTCCTCTTTCCACTGATAAAATCTTCAGCTCTCTCAAGACAGTGACTTGAAAGAAATTCAGAGATTTACATATACGTATTAATCAATTAAAATGTCCTGATTTAAGATTTAACAGCATCTTAAGTTTGTTTAATACATCCTCATCAGTGGTGTGGCCCTTTGATCTTTTACTTACAAATTCTGTGTCTGATACTACCTCTCTCACTAACACCTGAAGGAGTAAGACTGCAAAAGCTTGTGTTTTCATATAAACCTGTTGGACTATTATCTGGTATCGTGTGATTTCTGACATTGCCAGTGGAACGCTTAACCTTTGAAGGAGATTGTAATTACCAACAAAACACTGAGCACTTACCTTTTTAAAATGAGTTGCTGACTGCACTTTCCGGACCGGTTGCATTAACGCATCACGGACAATTATACAGATGTCTGCGCCAGAATATCCCTCAGTTTTCCTGCCTAGTTCCCTGAAGTCTGCCTCAGTCAGGCAATGAGGAGTTGTGCCCAGGTGTAGTTTAAACATGTGAACTCTTGCTGGTTCCTCTGGCAATGGGATGTAAATTCGTTTCTCAAACCTTAACACAAACAATAAGGGAACTTCTAAATTATTTCACACAATCAAATAAACTATAATAATCTGTATAATGTAGCATAATCTTAAATCTGACCTCCTCCTAATGGCAGAATCCAGCACCCATGGGATGTTTGTTGCTCCCAAAACCAAGATTCCATCACTACTATTCCCAACACCTGAAGATGGAGAAACAAGTTATTTTCAAACTAGACAGGGAGTGAACTTCTGGAACCCCAAATACACAGTAATCAGCATACAACATACAACATAGGAGAAGTAGACCATTCAGATCCTCAAACTTTCTCGCCATTCATTAAGATAATGGCTGATCTGTTTGTGTCCCAAATGCCACATTACCAGGTTAGTTACCCTTAGATTCTTGACAGGCAAGAGAATCGATCTACCTGTCTTAAACAATCCTGCCTCCAGCACTTTGAGACAGACAGTCCAAAAGCCGCACACTTTGACAAACAATTTCCTGTCTTTTATGTCTTAAAAGCCAATGATGTGGAGGTACCGGTGTTAGACTGGGGCAGACAAGGTCAGAAATCATTTTATAAATAATTTTATAAATTTCTACTTCATAAATAAAACCAGTCTGACTCCAAACCAAAACACAAACAGATTCTAAACAAGGCCTCACACGTAACATGCATTGTCTGACCTAAAATGTCACCTCTTCTTTACACTGATAATACCTGTAGTTCTCTCAGGGCAGTGATTCAAAAGAAATTCAGGCATTTACATGTACATATTAATCAATTAAAACCTTCTAACTGAGTAAAGATTTAACAGCATCTTAAGGTCATTCAATACATCCTCATCAGTTGTGTGACCCTTTGGTCTTTTACTTATAAATTGTGTTCTGTGTGTTTCTTTCTTACTTCACCTGACGAAGGGGCTATGCTCCGAAATCTTCTATTTTCAAATAAATCTGTTGGGACTATAACTTGGTGTCGTGTGATTTCTGACCATGTCTTAAAAGGGCAACCTTTAATTTTAAAATAGTGGCTCCCAATTCTGGGCTCACCTACAAGAAGCAACATCCTCTCCACATCCACCTCATTAAGATCATTCAGAATCTTATAAACTTAAATAAAATCATGCCTCAATCTTCTAAACTCTGGTGAAAACAGCCCAGCCTATCCAATCTTTCTTTGTAAGAGAACCTGCTCTTTCCAGATGATACCAATGTAGTAAACCTCATCTGAAGCCCCACCAAATGGTTACATGCTCTCTTACAGAAGGCCACCAAAACTGCGCACAGTATTCGAGATATGGTCTCATTAATGCCCTGTATGAATGAAGCATAACGAGCCTACTTCCAGTCACCCTGCTATAGGAAGGATGTTATTAAAGTGCAATGGGTGCAAAAAAGATTTCCAACGTACGTCCCTGAGATTGGAAGGATCGAGTTGTAAAGAGAGGCTGGAGAGACTGCGACTTTTTTTTCATCTGCAGCATAGGAAGCTGTGGGGTGACCTTTCAGAGGGTTATAAAACTTTCAGGGGCATAGTTAAAAGTAACTAGCCAAGGTCTTTTCCCTAGGGTAGGGTGGTCCAAAACTAAAGGGCATAGGTTTAAGGTCAGAGGGGAAAGATTTAAAAGGGACTCGAGGGGCAATTTCTTCCACACTGAGGGTGCTGTGTAACCGAAACTAGCTGCCGAAGGAAGCGGTAGAGGTGGACACAATTACAACATTTAAAAGACATGTGGACAGGCACATGGATTTAGAGGGATATCGGCCAAACGCAGACATATGGGACAAGTTCAGTTTAGGAAACCTGGTCAGCTTGGACTAGAAGGCCTGAAGGGCCTGTTTCCAGGTTGTATGACTGTATAATTTCTTCCATAATAGAGAATTGAATTCTGTAATCCTTCTTGATTACGTGCTGTACCAGAACTCTACCGCTTGTACCTCATGCTCTAGAATGTCCAGACTCTTCTGCATCTCTAGAACTCATTAGTTGTTCACTGTTTGGTTAAAACTCTACATTTTTGTTCTTCTTGCTAAAGTTAAACACAATATATTTACTAGTTAGCTTTTAGTCTGCACACTTCCTGTTCATTGGATTAAGATATGCAGAAAGGCAAAGACAAGCCAATCAATCAGGAACTTGGAAAATTGATACTGACTCATCCACTCAAAATGAACTAATAACTTCAGGTGGATTGGCCATGCCAAATTGCCCATACTATCTACGGATGTGTAGGTTAGGTGGATTAGCCATGGGAAGTGCAG